CTTGATTGTGAATAACAGCAACCATCAGAAACATTGCATGGTAGGTCAAAACCCATTGCAACACTGTCTTGGCAAATGGCAAAAGATTTTGCCTTCAAGAAACTTAACCTGGATTTAACAAAGGGAAAACATGGATATACCACAGTTGCTTTAAAATCTTACATTGTCAAATTAGTATAGTCAATGCATTGTCAAATCTAACTAAGTCACTCTGCTGTCACCTTAAACTTATTAGTATATTTACCAAATTAAGGTTCCTTTCAACTAACAAGCAGTTTATTTTTATCTTCTGAATTGTAATTATTTAGCTATCATTTGCTTTTCAAATTTTATAATGAGATATCAACCTGCTATTCTATGTTTACCTGTGTATGTATAGTTTTCTGCGATGCCCCCAGTCAAACCGTTTCCAGCTTTGGCATAGACATTGAATGTGTAAAAGTTCCCAGGTATTAACTGGTCCACAAGGTAAGATGTGTCATTAGAATTAAGGCTCACAACCGATGCTGAATCGCCTAAAACTTCTAATTCATATGAACTTCTGTTCCCTTCAGGTGTTTGCCAGATCAGGAGAACAGAATTGGTGGTGATATTCTCTATGATCACATTCTCTACTGCAGCAGGAACTAGAATATAGAAATGATGTTCGATGAAATATGACATGAACAAAAGATATTGAAATATTAGTTTTGCCTTTGACCATATATATATTTTTGAAATATGCACAAGACAACAATGCTTCAACTGTAATAGAAACACTGAGCGCCTTGATTGTGAATAACAGCAACCATCAGAAACATTGCATGGTAGGTCAAAACCCATTGCAACACTGTCTTAGCAAATGGCAAAAGATTTTGCCTTCAAGAAACTTAACCTGGATTTAACATAGGGAAAACATGGATATACCACACTTTCTTTAAAATCTTACATTGTCAAATTAGTATAGTCAATGCATTGTCAAATCTAACTAAGTCACTCTGCTGTCACCTTAAACTTATTAATATATATTTACCAAATTAAGGTTCCTTTCAACTAACATGCAGTTTATTTTTATCTTCTGAATTGTAATTATTTAGCTATCATTTGCTTTTCAAATTTTATAGTGAGATATCAACCTGCTATTCTATGTTTACCTGTGTATGTATAGTTTTCTGCGATGCCCCCAGTCAAACCGTTTCCAGCTTTGGCATAGATATTGAATGTGTAAAAGTTCCCAGGTATTAACTGGTCCACAAGGTAAGAAGTGTCATTAGAATTAAGGCTCACAACCAATGATGAATCGCCTAAAACTTCTAATTCATATGAACTTCTGTTCCCTTCAGGTGTTTGCCAGATCAGGAGAACAGAATTGGTGGTGATATTCTCTATGATCACATTCTCTACTGCAGCAGGAACTAGAATATAGAAATGATGTTCGATGAAATATGACATAAACAAAAAATATCAAAATATTAGTTTTGTCTTTGACCATATATATATTTTTGAAATATGCACAAGATAACAGTGCTTCAACTATAATAGAAACACTGAGCGCCTTGATTGTGAATGTCAGCAACCATCAGAAACATTGCATTGCAGGTCAAAACCCATTGCAACACTGTCTTGGCAAATGACCAAATATTTTGCCTTCAAGAAACTTAACCTGGATTTAACAAAGGGAAAACATGGATATACCACAGTTGCTTTAAAATCTTACATTGTCAAATTAGTATAGTCAATGCATTGTCAAATCTAACTAATTCACTCTGCTGTCACCTTAAACTCATTAGTATATATTTACCAAATTAATGTTCCTTTCAACTTAACATGCCGTTTATTTTTATCTTCTGAAAGGTAATTATTTAGCTATCATTTTGCTTTTCAAATTTTATAATAAGATATCAACCTGCTATTTTATGTTTACCTGTGAATGTATAGTTTTCTGCGATGCCCCCAGTCAAACCGTTTCCACCTTTGGCATAGATATTGAATGTGTAAAAGTTCCCAGGTATTAACTGGTCCACAAGGTAAGATGTATCATTAGAATTAAGGCTCACAACCGATGATGAATCGCCTAAAACTTCTAATTCATATGAACTTCTGTTCCCTTCAGGTGTTTGCCAGATCAGGAGAACAGAATTGGTGGTGATATTCTCTATGATCACATTCTCTACTGCAGCAGGAACTAGAATATAGAAATAGTGTTCGATGAAATATGACATGAACAAAAGATATTGAAATATTAGTTTTGTCTTTGACCATATATATATTTATAAAAAATATACACAAGAAAACAATGCTTCACATATTATAGAAACACTGAACACCTTGATTGTAAGTAACAGTAACCATCAGAAACATTGCATTGCTGCTCATATCCCATTGCAACACTTTCTTGGCAAATGGCAAAAGATTTTGCCTTCAAGAAACTTGACCTGGATTTATCAATGTGAAAAATAACGGATGTACCACAGTTGCTTTAAAAAATCACATTGTCAAATTAGTTTAGTTAATGTATGGTCAAATCTAACTAATTCACTCTGCTGTCACCTTAAACTTATTAGTATATATTTGCCAAATTAATGTTCCTTTCAATTTACATGTAGTTTATTTTTATCTTATGAAAGTTAATTATTTAGCTATCATTTTTCTTTTCAATTTTTATCATCAGATATCAACATGCTATTCTATATTTACCTGTGAATGTATAGTTTTCTGCAATGCCCCCAGTCAAACCGTTTCCAGCTTTGGCATAGATATGGAATGTATAAAAGTTCCCAGGTATTAACTGGTCCACAAGGTAAGATGTATCAAGAGAATCAAGGCTCACAACGGATGATGAATTGCCTAAAACTTCTAATTCATATGAACTTCTGTTCCCTCCGGGTGTTTGCCAGATAAGGAGAACAGAATTGGTGGTGATATTCTCTATGATCACATTCTCCACTGGAGCAGGAACTAGAATATAGAAATAATGTGCAATGAAAAATGACATAAACAAAAGATATTGAAATATTAGTTTTGTCTTTGACCATATATATATTTATGAAATATGCACAAGACATCAAGACAACAATGCTTCAAATATTATGGAAACACTGAACACCTTGATTGTAATTAACTATAACCATCAGAAACATTGCATTGTAGCTCATAACCCATTGCAACACTGTCTAGGCAAATGGCAAAAGATTTTGCCTTCAAGAAACTTGACCTGGATTTATCAATGTGAAAAATAACGGATGTACCACAGTTGCATTAAAAGCTCACATTGTCAAATTAGTATAGTCAATGCATGGTCAAATCTAACTAATTCACTCTGATGTCACCTTAAACTCATTAGTATATATTTGCCAAATTAATGTTCCTTTCAACTTACATGTAGTTTATTTTTATCTTATGAAATGTAATTATTTAGCTATCATTTTTCTTTTCAATTTTTATCATCAGATATCAACATGCTATTCTTTATTTACCTGTGAATGTATAGTTTTCTGCGATGCCCCCAGTCAAACCGTTTCCAGCTTTGGCATAGATATTGAATGTGTAAAAGTTCCCAGGTATTAACTCGTCCACAAGGTAAGATGTATCAGGAGAATCAAGGCTCACAATGGATGATGAATTGCCTAAAACTTCTAATTCATATGAACTTCTGTTCCCTCTGGGTGTTTGCCAGATAAGGAGAACAGAATTGGTGGTGATATTCTCTATGATCACATTCTCCACTGGAGCAGGAACTAGAATATAGAAATAATGTGCAATGAAAAATGACATAAACAAAAGATATTGAAATATTAGTTTTGTCTTTGACCATATATATATTTATGAAATATGCACAAGACATTAAGACAACAATGCTTCAAATATTATAGAAACACTGAACACCTTGATTGTAAATAACAATAACCATCAGAAACATTGCATTGCAGCTCATAACCCATAGCAACACTTTCTTGGCAACTTGACCTGGATTTATCAATGTAAAAAATAACTGATGTACCACAGTTGCTTTAAAAGCTCACATTGTCAAATTAGTATAGTCAATGCATGGACAAATCTAACTAATTCACTTTGATGTCACGTTAAACTCATTAGTCTATATTTACCAAATTAATGTACCTTTCAACTTACATGTAGTATAATGTGATCTTCTAAAAGTTAATTATTTAGCTATCATTTTGCTTTTCAATTTTTATAATGAGATATCAACATGCTATTCTATATTTACCTGTGAATGTATAGTTTTCTGTGATGCCCCCAGTCAAACCATTTCCAGATTTCGCATAGATTTTGAATGTGTAAAAGTTCCCAGGTATTAACTGGTCCACAAAGTAAGATGTATCATTAGAATTAAGGCTTACAACAGATGATGAATTGCCCAAAACTTCTAATACATATGAACTTCTGTTCCCTTCAGGTGTTTGCCAGATCAGGAGAACAGAATTAGTTGTGATATTCTCTATGATCAAATTCTCTACTGCAGCAGGAACTAGAATGTAGAAATAATTTGCAATGAAATATGACATAGACAAAAGATATCAACATATTAGTTTTGTCTTTGACCATATATATATTTATGAAATACACACAAGACAACAATGCTTCAAATATTATAGAAACACTGAACACCTTCATTGCAAGTAATAGTTACCAACAGAAACATTGCATTGTAGCTCATAACCCATTGCAACACTGTCTAGGCAAATGGCAAAAGATTTTGCCTTCAAGAAACTTGACCTGGATTTATCAATGGTAAAAACCGGATGTACCACAGTTGCTTTAAAATCTGACATTGTCAAATTAGTATAGTCAATGCATGGTCAAATCTAACTAATTCACTCTGCTGTCACTTTAAACTCATTAGTGTATATTTACCAAATTAATGTACATTTCAACTTACATGTAGTTTATTTTAATCTTCTGAGAGTTAATTATTTAGCTATCATTTTGCTTTTCAATTTTTATAATGAGATATCAACATGCTATTCTATATTTACCTGTGAATGTATAGTTTTCTGCAATGCCCCCAGTTAAACCGTTTCCAGCTTTAGCATAGATATTGAATGTGTAAAAGTTCCCAGGTATTAACAGGTCCATAAGGTAAGATGTATCAAGAGAATCAAGGCTCACAACGGATGATGAATTGCCTAAAACTTCTAATTCATATGAACTTCTGTTCCCTCCGGGTGTTAGCCAGATAAGGAGAACAGAATTGGTGGTGATATTCTCTATGATCACATTCTCCACTGGAGCAGGAACTAGAATATAGAAATAATGTGCAATGAAAAATGACATAAACAAAAGATATTGAAATATTAGTTTTGTCTTTGACCATATATATATTTATGAAATATGCACAAGACATTAAGACAACAATGCTTCAAATATTATAGAAACACTGAACACCTTGATTGTAATTAACTATAACCATCAGAAACATTGCATTGTAGCTCATAACCCATTGCAACACTGTCTAGGCAAATGGCAAAAGATTTTGCCTTCAAGAAACTTGACCTGGATTTATCAATGTGAAAAATAACGGATGTACCACAGTTGCTTTAAAATCTCACATTGTCAAATTAGTATAGTTAATGTATGGTCAAATGTAACTAATTCACTCTGCTTTCACCTTAAACTTATTAGTATATATTTGCCAAATTAATGTTCCTTTCAACTTACATGTAGTTTATTTTTATCTTATGAAATATAATTATTTAGCTATCATTTTTCTTTTCAATTTTTATCATCAGATATCAACATGCTATTCTTTATTTACCTGTGAATGTATAGTTTTCTGCGATGCCCCCAGTCAAACCGTTTCCAGCTTTGGCATAGATATTGAATGTGTAAAAGTTCCCAGGTATTAAATGGTCCACAAGGTAAGATGTATCAAAGGTAGTAAGGCTCACAACGGATGATGAATTGCCTAAAACTTCTAATTCATATGAACTTCTGTTCCCTTCAGGTGTTTGCCAGATCAGGAGAACTGAATTGGTGGTGATATTCGCTATGATCACATTCTCCACTGCAGCAGGAACTAGAATATAGAAATAATGTGCAATGAAAAATGACATAGACAAAAAATATTGAAATATTAGTTTTGTCTTTGACCATATATATATTTATAAAAAATATACACAAGACAACAATGATTCACATATTATAGAAACACTGAACACCTTGATTGTAAGTAACAGTAACCATCAGAAACATTGCATTGCAGCTCATATCCCATTGCAACACTTTCTTGGCAAATGGCAAAAGATTTTGCCTTCAAGAAACTTGACCTGGATTTATCAATGTGAAAAATAACGGATGTACGACAGTTGCTTTAAAATCTCACATTGTCAAATTAGTATAGTTAATGTATGGTCAAATCTAACTAATTAATTCTGCTGTCACCTTAAACTTATTAGTATATATTTGCCAAATGAATGTTCCTTTCAACTTACATGTAGTTTATTTTTATCTTATGAAAGTTAATTATTTAGCTATCATTTTTCTTTTCAATTTTTATCATCAGATATCAACATGCTATTCTATATTTACCTGTGAATGTATAGTTTTCTGCGATGCCCCCAGTCAAACCGTTTCCAGCTTTGGCATAGATATTGAATGTGTAAAAGTTCCCAGGTATTAACTGATCCACAAGGTAAGATGTATCAAGAGAATGAAGGCTCACAATGGATGATGAATTGCCTAAAACTTCTAATTCATATGAACTTCTGTTCCCTCTGGGTGTTTGCCAGATAAGGAGAACAGAATTGGTGGTGATATTCTCTATGATCACATTCTCCACTGGAGCAGGAACTAGAATATAGAAATAATGTGCAATGAAAAATGACATAAACAAAAGATATTGAAATATTAGTTTTGTCTTTGACCATATATATATTTATGAAATATGCACAAGACATTAAGACAAAAATGCTTCAAATATTATAGAAACACTGAACACCTTGATTGTAAATAACAATAACCATCAGAAACATTGCATTGCAGCTCATAACCCATAGCAACACTTTCTTGGCAAATGGCAAAAGATTTTGCCTTCAAAAAACTTGACCTGGATTTATCAATGTGAAAAATAATGGATGTGCCACAGTTGCTTTAAAAGCTCACATTGTCAAATTAGTATAGTCAATGCATGGTCAAATCTAACTAATTCACTCTGATGTCACCTTAAACTCATTAGTCTATATTTACCAAATTAATGTACCTTTCGACTTACATGTAGTTTAATTTAAACTTCTAAAAGTTAATTATTTAGCTATCATTTTGCTTTTCAATTTTTATAATGAGATATCAACATGCTATTCTATATTTACCTGTGAATGCATAGTTTTCTGCGATGCCCCCAGTCAAACCGTTTCCAGCTTTGGCATAGATATTGAATGTGTAAAAGTTCCCAGGTATTAAATGGTCCACAAGGTAAGATGTATCAAGAGAATCAAGGCTCACAATGGATGATGAATTGCCTAAAACTTCTAATTCATATGAACTTCTGTTCCCTCCGGGTGTTTGCCAGATAAGGAGAACAGAATTGGTGGTGATATTCTCTATGATCACATTCTCCACTGAAGCAGGAACTAAAATATAGAAAAAGTGTGCAATGAAAAACGACACAAACAAAAGATATCTCAATAGCTCATTTAGTCCCTGATCATATATGTGTTTTGGATATATGCTCGAGAGACCAATGCTGCACATATAGTAATCTTGTAACCCTTTGCATGGAGACGCTTAATTTTCCCGATAGAAATGCATTGATTCAATGCATCTCTACGAGGAGATGCTGATTGTCCAAACCAGCAGAGCATGGAGACACTAAACATCAGTGCTGCACACTGCCCCATGAAGCACCTCCAGAGCACGTCTGAGGAGTGGCCACTGGAGGTGTGTCTAGGGAGCCATGCAAACATTACCTTTTCTCTGAAAAGGCAGTGTTTACAGCAAAAGGACTGCAGGGATAGGCTATACTCATCAGAACAACTGCAATAACCTGTTCCTTTAAATAGTGTCCCTTTAAATATATGTAAATGGCGTGGATTTCTTTATATTGACATTTTTGTCATCTATTGGATGAAAAATACAGATAAAGGTATTCTTTCCCATTGTACATATAGGAGTTGTTAGACTGATAATACTATCTGGATAGCTAATAGTTTGAACAGTACTTATCTGCTTGTGATTTGCTGCAATTCTATTTATTTGTGGGTTGTTTTTTTCTCTTTTGCTGTGACAGACCCTCTGTCCCTGGATTTTTAAAGTTTATGTTACCCTTTCGCCTATCCGCTCAATCAATTACAGCTATTCCCTATATAACCATTGTCCGTTCGACTGACAAAAGAACTACTGAACAACCGACCACCCAGATGCGGAGTGTAGCACTTGTTAACTTTATTGACCCCTCCTAACACTTCTAAAAACCGCATACACCTAAGTGGTCGGCTGGGTGGTCGGCGTTCATATGCCAGAACACATGGCGGCGAACATCTTGCAATACGAATGCAGCCAGCAGTGTTTGGTCGTCGAGTGCATGGAACTCAAATCGGACACTCGACGGCACGAACACCGCTAAGACTTCCATGTCCACAGATGTTCGGTGTTATATGCACGAAAAGGATGGCGTTCGGTAATAACATCTCCCGAAACACCAGGACTATGAGAACAGATGCTCGAACAGTAATTTTCCCTATAGACAGTAGTTTGGTACTCCTGAAAGAGACCGGCTGCACAACATGATTCCATGGAACTATTCTGGGCAGGAGCCTCGTGTGAGGTCGGTCAGAAATAAGACCTCAATGCAAATCCTGAGCCCCTGAACCGACCTGGGTGATTTTGGAATATGTTGCTCCCCTAGATGGGGGCTATCAGGGGATATGCTTTTTATGTGGATATCACGTGTTTTGGGGTATTTTCAGTGTGTATATAAATTATGTATCTTCTTCGCCTGGAGATAATTGAGTTAAGACAGTAGTTGACTCAATTATCTCCCAAGTAGAAGGTAGGGATTGTATGTCTTGTATGGGAGTGTCACACTGTATAACACTGTTATTATTGGTTGATAATTCTATGTCTCAGTCCCCAACAAGGTCCATGTGGGTGTAAACCTTGCCTGGGGACCTGCATAAAAGGCCAGTGTGGCTACCATTGAAACAGTCTTACTTCACCCTCAATACAGAGTTCTGTCTCTTACTGTAGGGAACTGCTACAAAGCTATCACTTCTAGCTCTTGTAAGAGCTTCTCAACTTGATGACTACTCAAAATGCGGTGACACCCCTCACACTTGGAAGAAGGATGTCTCCTGCGGTGGAAACCCCCTCTACTCCAGTAACCGCTACATTTGCTATATTGCAGATTTACACGTTATACTTTTTTTTTTCTACCTTTTCAATACTATAATAATAATATTATTATTGTGGATATTGTGACTTATTTTGTGTTACTGTGAATGTTCTCTTTTTAGTGAAATCGCATAAACACTGGCAGGGTTATTCAATAATTGTTTGCAAAGGGAGTACCAATCCCTGAAGACATCGAATGGAAGAAAAGAAGTATCAAGGCACACCTAAGGTTTCTTCAAAAAGGCAGTCTTTAATATTTAAAATAATGAAGTGGAGACAATGTTTTGGCTCCTCTCTTTTATTCCATTTGGGTTATTTAATAATGTCCAAATGGGGCAAATCCTCCCGCTGTATACTGAGCCATTTGGACTGCAAAAACTGGGCATTGTTCACTCTATTTATCAATTTCCAAATTGTACAATCCAGCATCTTAATGACCTGAATTATGTCTGGATTTGAGTCAGATCGAACATCACCGAATGGCTGAAATCAAGACCAAATAGCTTCAAATCCATGCCCAGATTTGAAAAAATCCTAACAAATAGTGCAAACTAATAGCAGACAGCACACAAATAGAGTAAAAACCCCTGATGCTGCATGGGTTAACTAAGTGGTGACTGGCCTGCTAGCCATCTGTCACATTAAAGTTAAATAAATAGACAAGCTAGGGATCAATAAGACCCCCATATTACTAAAAAGGAAATTTTAAACCTCACCTGCTGCATATCTATTTAACCTAAGCCTAGTCCCTAGAAAGACCCCATCCCATAGGGATTGGGACTGTAAAATGATGGGTGGTCTAGTCACCCCATTCCCCCCACCAGTTGGTATCAGTTGGCAGACTTTAAAATATAAATTGGGGTAGCGCCTTTTACATGGTGTAGAGGGTTGGTTATTCTTATAATAAAACTTGAAGGACCAAGTGTCCTTCCCAGCCACCACCCATGGGTTACAGGTGGGGGCTATTATTATAACACAAGGGACTGCACCTAATGTCAACCACAGCAGCTGGGGCTACTAATAAATTACACAACGGGGGGTGCATACCATTATCTATCTCCCCCAAACTAGTGCCATTGTCAATGTCACCCCCACCCCACCGCGCAGTGTGGCTAGGGGTCACCAACCCTTTAAAATAAAATAGAATCCATAGGAATCTTTAACTTAACGGATGTCACTAACAGTAGATCAAATAACACTTCTCAACAAAGGCCTCAATTATGCACCTACGAGTAATTTTAACAAGTTTGAGATGTTCATAGATGTTAATAGTTTTTTAAGAAAATTGACAATTAAAAAAATCTTTCAGATTAATCCCTATGAAATGAAAGATCGCATAGAGATAAATGGTTTTAGACAAACAGAATTAAAAAATAAATCGAAATTTTATCAAAAACATTTGGTGACAGGCCCTGTGGAAGCTTTTACAACTCTAGTGACACAGGCTTTAGAAAGAATCATGGTAGATAAGAGGATAATTTGAATCCATAAGAGAGAAAAGTGCTGATGAGTTGAAGGGAAATGCAGACATTGTTATCAAACCTGCTGACAAGGGATGTGGGATTGTAATTATGACTTGAGAATACTACCTGGAAGAAGCATACACATAGCTATTAGATGAGACTACATATGGGAAATTGGATATCAACCCCACCTCCCAGATGCAAAAGAATCTGGAAGAATACCTCAAGAAGGGTCTAGACCTTGGCATTGTGAATAAAAAGGAGTTTGCTTTTATAAATATTAAGAATCCAAGGTTGGCAATTTTTTATATTTTTGCCCAAGATCCACAAAAGTCTAACGAAACTGCCAGGTCGACCGATAATTTCTGGGATAGGGTCTCTATTTTGTGATCTATCCCAATATATAGATCATATCCTCCAACCATCAGTTTTTAAAATGAAGTCATATCTCAAGGATACTACCCATTTATTGAACATCTTAAAAGGAATAAAGTGGGAACAAAGAATGATATTGGTAACATGTGATGTGAATACACTGTATACATGCATTAACCATGAACTGGGAAGTAAAGTATGTAGAGAGGTTCTGGAGAGAAAAGGAGTATAACCCCAACAACAAATAGATTTTGTCATTGTAGACATTTTATTGATTTTAAGGAATTACATTATTTTATTTGAGGATCAGTATTTTATTCAACGGATCAGGACAGCTATGGGAATGAGGTTCGCACCCAGCTATGCCAACCTCTTCATGTCTAGATGGGAAGAGGAATTTATATGGAATGATCATAGCTGAAGTGCGAACCTCGTTGCCTATAAACACTTTATAGATTACATGTTTTTTATTTGGAAGGGTCCTGAGGAAGACCTAAAGGAGTTCTTAGAATTTTTAAATTTTAGTGATTGGGGAATTACACTGAAGGCTGACTTTAGTACCACTAAAGTAGATTTCTAGAAAACCAAGAATTTTTTAAAGAAAATAGATGTCAACAATTATAATCTGAAGAAAATCTGCTACCATCACCCATGGTTGGCGAACATTTCAAAAAATCAATTTACAAAAATCAGAAGAAATTGTATTCAAATTGACGATTTTATATACCAAGCAAATTTTCTAAAAGGAAGATTTTTGGAAAAAAATTATGAGGAGGAAGGTGTCAATAGAGCCTTTGAAGAGGTCAAGAGAATAAACAGAGAGGATCTTCTAGAATTTAAAATTAAGGAAGACGTAACCCAACAAGACTTACGTATCCCCATGATTTTTTATTATAATAGCCAAGCGGAAGAAATTAAGAGAATTATAAATAAGAGGTGGCCAATCCTGAAATAGTACATAACCTCTTACCAGACAAGCCTATGATAATTTTCAGAGGAGCACCAAATCTGAAGTCACCACTAGACTTTGAGAAAGCTCGCCCAGGGCGAAACCCGTAAGTCACGTGGTGCCGACATTCCTGGCGTTCAAGGGAGAGGTTTAAACAGCGGTATCATTGGACGATCAACTGATTAACAATCTTTTTAATTTCCCTACAAACTGTAAGCCAGCTACAAAAATTTTCTTTTAATTTGTTTTATCCAATCAATAAAGTGTGGAAATACTTTTAACCATTATAGGCTCATTACCTATATATACCGTGAGTACACTGTGGGACTGTTAAAGTCCCTGAGCCAGGTGAGTGCAAAATATAGGGGGAGTGGTGTTAGCCCTTGTATATATAGTGCTATACCATTGGAA